CTATACTGTTCTCTGCAATATCCGTACACGGCGGAGACAGTTCTGCTCTCGAACTATAACTGCCGATAACAAAAGTTCCGTCACCGGAAGTATCCATATCGAAGAAGTTTCACATCCTAGCTTTTTCTTGAAGGTATTTCCAGGAGTGTCTCCTCTGGCACTGCAGAAGTCCAGTCCTGGAAAGTCACATCTGTGGACAGCGATTCAATCAGGTCCATATAGTCCTCCCGAATCACGGGTTTCGCAACCATCTCGGGCTGAAGTACACTCAAAATTGGGATTTGCAAATTTGAGTAAGGTCTGATGAACGTCAGGTTTGAGATTGTGAGATCTTCATGTAGTTCTTGCATCGATTATACTGCCATGTTGGCGACTCTTTTACTCTCCTAAGCCGATGCAAGCTACCGCTCTCGATCACGACGATTACTACTGCTGCAACTAGCATTGCGTTTTGTCAATTCGCGAGTGAAATGCCGAAGTGAGCAAACGGACAATCGCTCTTGCTCTTCTTTCCTTTCCCCTGTTTCATGAAATTGGTTGAAGGGGCCAGGGACTCGGAGGATTGGGCTGCGCAGAATGAAAGAGATAGAGATGATATATTCTCATATGTTGTTCTTTACATGGTAACATATAGTGAGATCCCTATTAGGTCTCACCCATAAACGAAAGTTTTCCAAAATGCCTTGCATAGACATAACCTTTTGTATTGTGATTGATTTTTGTCCACTACATTGTACATAGCTGCAGGTTTTCATGCAAATTTTATATTATGATTGATTCTATTTATCAGTTATCACGTCGCCAATAGAGAGCTTATTTGGTTATGCATTTTCCTTAAATCCATTCTTGCTCGTCAACCAAATTTTTGAAACTCGGTTTCGATCTCTGGTAGTGTCCGAGGTGCATCGTGTTTGATCCACAGCACCAAACCCTAAGGCAGGCCCGCCACCCTCGGCCGCTAGGTGCTCGTTGCATATTTTTTATAATTATACACGTGTATATCCTGTATAAAATTTCATGTATAATATTTTGATCTAGTCCCCGAAGATTAAGATCTAGCAATTCTTTTTAACCATGCTCCCTCAATCTAACTTTCATTTTTTCACTCATCATGCTGCTTCATGAGCAAGGGGTTGCTTACATTAAGTGACAAAATGTTAAAAGCACGTTCTGATACATACATTAGTCCTCTTATAATGACCAGTCGACCATCACTGCGTACATGCATATGTGTGCAATACGTATGTCTACACGGATTATTTTAATAAAATGAATGACGCAACACAAAAATAGAAAACGGAAAGTAGTGCCTTCCGGCCAGTGCAGACTAATGTTTTCGAGGAAAAATATAAGACAATTGGTCCAGCTTGTTTTCGACGCGAGGCACGAAAGACAATGTTTGCTGATGTCTGCATCATCACCACTTGTGGTATAAGTTTATCGTCAGTTTAGTGCAAATCTCAATACTTATAATAAGCAAAGTCAAACCCTTCTCAAATAAATTAAGCAGCTGACTATGGTGTGCCTTGAGTGTCCTCCTGAAAACCCCAGAAAAAAGAAAGAAAAAAAGAAAAACATTATTAGCTCATCAATGTTAACGTTTCCAAGTTGTGGTATTCGGGCCAAGTTCACCGAATTTGACCATATAATTTGGTCTAGAGAAATGTTTATCTCTCTTTATTTGTGCGGTCGTCGCCTTCTCTTTCTCAGTTTCATTCTTGTGCAAGCATACGCACGTCATCGTCGAGGAAACTGCAATGCGAAAATTTGCAGCAGTTTCAGAAGTTCATGCAGTTGATAGTCCCAAGCTTTCGAAGAGAACCACAGAGGCAAGGTAAATCATCAAATGGACAGGACAACGAATAGTGAGTGAACTAGTAAGTAGATGGAAACATGTATATATATATATAATAAGTGAGGTGAGCATTCGAAATGAAAGAGACATGAGTAAGATGAAATATTGGTAATAAATCAAATTGAACAAGTTGCCCTAGTTGTGAGGGAAACAATGCCTTAATTCAAGGTATAAGAAGGAATAGGGATAATGACACAATTAATTCATAAACTTTAGCCAATGTGTATTGTGGTCCCTTAATTTTTAATTTGTTTAATGTGGTCCCTGAACTTTAGACTAATGGGCAATGTGATCCACGAACTTTCAATTTGTTCAATGTAGTCTTTAAACTTTTGGTATATGTTCAATCTAATTCCCAAACTATATGAAAATGTTTAATATTGTCCTTCCATCAATTGAAGCTCGAAAACAACATTGAATATTTTCATATAGTTCATGAATTAAATTGAATATATACCAAAAGTCCATAAAATATATTGGACAAATTAAAAGTTCAAGGACCGCATTACATATGGGGCTAAAATTTAATCATTTATGTCATTTTCTTCGAAAAATGCTTAGGGTCTCGTCTAGGTGATTCCCCACTGTACGGGCCATCACATGAGGTTGAAGACAAGTGAACATTCCCAACAAGATTCATGTGAAAATCTCACAAGTTGCTGCACGTAACTCGAAAGAGGAGGGTTTTATGAACTTGGACGGTCAACCCTTATATTATCCTTCATATGTCTATAAACAAAAGGAAAACCCCTTCAGAGTTTCAATTCTAACATTGATGAAAACACAATTATTATGTTATACCGCCTTATACGTACCGAATATTTCTCTCTGTTTCTTTGTTCTCGATTTGAGTTTTTCCCCTCATTCTCCAAAGGGACAGAAGAGGGAAAAGAAAAAAGATGGAATAGTATACAAACCTGTATCGTCAGCGATTAGGTGGATGTTGTGTGGCAATCTTAGAGGTCAACCAAAGTGGGGGCCAACTCTCACTCGGACTAAAGTACAATTATTAGCAGAAAAAGAAAGCAAAACCAAACATTATTCTTGTTTTCGTACCGCGGCTGGGATCTCCCAATACGGACGCGACCACATCATCTTCCATCTGAAAACTCTGGTCTCTCCCCACCATTTGTTTGACCTCTTCACCTTCTGGACCTTCCCATGCCGTGTTGCTTCAGTTCTCCTTCATTTTCCTTCGCTGAAATAGCCCTGGTTTCCTCATGGAATCTCGGTGGAGCCACTGCTCATTGCGTAGCAACAGTTTTCCACATGGGAATCATCAGAATCATCCCATTTAAAATAATAGAAAAGATAAGAGCAATATAAATCGGTTGGCTTGATAACGCAGAAAAAACCAGCATCTCAGCATGCACTGAACCCACCAAAGATCTCGAGGATAAGTCAAGATTTGGTGCTTCCGGCGGTGGCGGCACTTGGTTCCCATTATGCTCGCTCTTTGGTATAGAAAAGGTTGCTCTAAGATAAGAATACCCTCAAGCCTCAAACTCTCCAAAGGGACTTTGCGGCATATCTTGCCGTATTCATTTTCTTCGTACGACCAAAAGAGCACACGCTTTATGTTGGAAAAAGGATGGTAAGAACAGAAAATGGGTTGTTGAAGATTTGGTCTATTTAGGGAGAAAATTCAGATTTTCAGGAGATAAGAAAGATTCAACTTAACGAAGATGAGAAAATTTACATTTTAAGTTTGGAAAGAGGTAGAGAGATTTAAGGAATCGTCATCCGAAGAGTTAGAGATTCTGATTTTTTTTTTTAATTACGGTTTTTGTCCATCGTTTATACTTATACCTTTATAATTTTACAGTGGAGTTTTCCATGGAATTTGATGGGAAAAGGGTACGGTTGAAATCATCTTTTGGGTTTGTTTTATTATACATAGAGATAGAGATTATAAGAAAATGGAAAGACGAAATCCTCTAGATAGATTTGATGAAATGGTACAAAAATCAGGGAAGGCGGCGACGCCACTTTTCTATTTATCTTATCGCAACAAAGATAAAATTCCACTAAATAATCTTTGATCAAGCGATAGAAAACCTTGGATAGTGGACACTTTATGATCCAAATTTTTCATACAAACTTAGTCTGTGTACCCATCATTTCCACACCTGAAAACAATTGAATGAGGTCAATAAAAGCTTTGACCTTTGCTTATCAGCAATCATGTATGTAGCCCTACTTCTTTTACGGTTAAGTAGGTGTTTGTGGAAATAGGAGAAGGTGCAAGGAAAGAACGATAAAGAGATTAGACACTATGGTTTGCAAAGAGATATATTGGAAAATCTTAGCACTCTGAGCTCAATTAGTCTACCTTTCAAGCAACACCCTTCAGTTTGGGGTTTGTTCATTATGAGAGCCTTCTTCGCTACAACTACTGGCCCCTCAAGATCAAAGATTTTTAGAAAGTTTGATTTTCTTGAAAGAAATGATGTTAGATTGTGTTTGAGAATGTTTCTTTTTCCAATATGAATCTGGGGTTTGTTTAAAAATGCTATCAACAAGGGACGAGCAGTGTTTGCTTGTATGAACTTCCAAAATATTAAATGCTCTTGTTGCTGCCATAACACAATGATAGAGATAACAAAGTTGCAAAGATCAGTGCACAAAATCTTGCATGGACTTCAACCTTTTTTTTTCGAGCTCAAGGCTAGCTTGTATTTTTCAATACTGTATTTGAAGATCGAACCATGTATTGAGAATTCGATGGTTACCCGATTGTTAGCAAGATAAATTAGGTCATAGACGTTGATGATTGGCCGGATGATGCAAACTACGCAAGCACAAAACCATTCAGTGGAATGACATTCTAGTGATAATTTCGTAAGAAGGGGGGGCATTTTGTTCGCGTAGATTTTGCCTGCCGTTGGTCCACAATTGTAGGGAAATTTTTAATGAAGTTTTTAAAACCAAGTTGTGCAGTGTAACCCTGCAAAAAACAAAAACAAAAAATACAACAGCAATTAATGTAATAGTAATCCACACGTTGATATTGACATATTGTAGTAACAATGTCAACGGTCCACAAAAAACCCTTTCTGGGACTCTTCCTGTCTGAAATATAAAGCCAAAACTGGCATTGCCTTTCCCATTACCACTCGTTTTTGCTTGTTCCTGAAGCAAACCACGAACTCAAAATTTATTCCAAGAAGAAGAAGAAGAGGAAGAAGGAGGAGGAGGAGGAGGAGAAGAAGAAGAGAGGAGAGGAGGAAGAGATGAAGCTAACCTGGTCTCCGGAGACGGCATCGAAGGCTTACATCGAGACCGTCACATCTGTAAGTATTTCTCTCTTGCAACCTATTGTAAAGAGTTTGTGTTATCTCTTTCGTCGATTTGTTTTCTGATCTTGTGTTTTGACAGTGCAAAAAGCTACAGAAAGAATCGGGTGTCGCTGAGCTAGTTTCAGCCATGGCCGCGGGCTGGAATGCACGTCTTATAGTAGAGACGTGGTCGAGCGGTGGAGCCACCGCCACGAGCATCGGCCTTGCAGTGGCAAGCCACCACACAGGGGGAAGGCATGTGTGCATAGTTCCCGATCAGAAATCAAAGTCTGAATACATGGAAGCCCTGGGAGAAACCGACGAGAACGTGGAAGTGGTGGTCGGAGAACCGGAGGAGGTGGTGGAGGTGTTAACGGGCATCGATTTCATGGTAGTAGACTGCCAGAGCAAGGATTTCGAGAAGATCCTGAGATCGGCTAAGTTGTCAACTCGAGGGGCAGTTTTAGTGTGCAAGAACGCAAGCTCGAGACTGAGTTTGAGCTTCCGATGGCGGAGCGTTCTTGATGCAGGGTCACGCCGTCTCGTGCGGTCGGCGTTTCTTCCCGTGGGCAGAGGGCTGGATATTGCCTATGTTGCAAGCATCAGTGGGAGCTCGAGCGCTGGCAAGGGCAAGAGCCGGTGGATCAAGCATGTTGATCAGCAATCCGGGGAGGAGATTGTCATAAGGAAATGAATTTCACATCAGCAGTGGTTTTGATTTTTGTCCTTGGCTTTTTTGTGTCTGTACAGTCTAACTAGTTATAGAATTTGCTGGGACACTTTATTATTCAGAAGATTATTGAAACCTGTACAGAAATGTTCTCCACATATAAACAAATGAGAAGGGATGCTTTTGCCCACTGTCTAGCTACAGCATCATACTGACAAAAAAGAAAGATCCAGACTGAATCATTCATTGATCACCCGAACAGAAGAAAAGTTTTAACAATACAGTCTCGAAAAATCTCTACTGACTCTGTATATGAAGTTGCCCGCTCGAAATTTCACAAGCAACAACGAAGAAACATATATGTCTATTAAAGGTTGGACTTCTTCCAGCAGCTTGATCATTGAGGGTGTCAGCGCGACCTAGTTGAATGATCTGTAGCTCTGATTCTTTATCTTCACGAACTTACCGCAAATGGTACTTGCTAATCAATGCTACATGAAACATATCCATTGCTACTATTCTCAGATGGTCAATGACAACGGTTGACGAATCAAAAGGGGATTCGGTCCATCAATTTTAGACTAACAGCTACAGAACCCCTTTCTGTGTCAATCCCAGCCGTCTCTACTTCTGCGAAATGCCTTCTTATCTGAGAGCGCCTTTTTACTCTTCAAGCGTTTCTGCTCTCCAATAGCAGCCCTTCAATGCAGAATAACTTCATCAATTTGGAACAGAATTGGGACAAATTTAAGTGAGAAACCATACTAGTGAAATGACTCACATCTTTTGACCACAAAAAAAAAAATGACTCACATCTTGGCCATCTTCTTCTTCTGCTCTTCTGAAGGAGGTGGTGGGACGTAAGAAGCAGCATCAATAATTGCCTGCTCGCAACACCCCAATATAAAACAAAATTAAACCAAAAGGTGATCTAAGAATCCAACGACTGAATATATTTAAGAGGAAAAACAAATAACAGCTGACTGTACACCCAGACCCAGTGTTTTCACGTGTGAAAAATGTGGATTAAATGTCCCAATCAGAAGACGAAACGCCGAGTAGTGTATCATCACTGCACATGAATATGAAATTAGCTTCAATTTTTTGTACCTGTAGCTTTCCTAGAGCGTCGTCAATGTTCCCCCTGCACAGAAATAGAATTGTCAACCGGCTGCTGCACTAGGCAGCAAAACCAACAAATTGTAGACAAAAGAGGGAAGAAAGTGACTTCTGAGTTCTAGTTTTCGTTGAAGAGATCACAATTTCACCATCCTTATTGATTCGATTCTTTTCCTGTTCAGCAGACAATATGCAGAAAGAAGAAAGAGCAGTTAGGAAGAATAGCTTTCAATTAAATATCAGAGAAAAATTACACATTTCCAAGTGTTGGTCATTCAAAAGACTGAAAATGCAAAATGCAGCAATATTGTTATATACATCCTGCACAAAATCACCTAACCAAAAACAAGAGCTCCCATGCAATCACAGAAACAGACACCGCAGGGACAACTCCTTACTCCACCAGATAAGAGGAAAATCTATGCACGTAAATATCTTGCTCGTGATATCCCCTTAGCCCCTGTATCGGGAGGGATTATAGTTCAACATGCGTGATTCCTAAGGAAGATCTGTTACATAAAGCTCAAGTTAAAGCAACAAACCGTTTGCATTATCCTCTCCCTGATCCTGTCACTTAGCCAATATGCATTTTTCACATTGAAGCGCATGTCAACCTTAGTATTCACTGTAAATTGCATCAAGAAAACAGATGTTAGTAGAAGGTATCATCTGAGAGAGTGGTACAAGGAAATGACCATGACAGAGAAGGGAGGAAAGAAAAGGAAAGAAAAGATCCGACCTTTGTTCACATTTTGACCTCCTGGACCACCACTTCTTGCAAAACTCACAGTGACATGGTCTGGCAAGAAATGAGAAAGAAACTAATAGATTTAAGGTTCTTTGATCGATTTAGGATCTAATATTAGTTAATCACAAAAAAATTTCATATCTAGCAATGGCTTCGTCAAGATGCTACTTTCTACAACTTAAGTGAGCAATTATTCTTATATGTTTACACTTCTGTAGCAGTATGTGAAAAGCAAACGACATATGTAAGTGCAGTGTTTCTTATGTATTTCTTCGCTTCAGTGACAGGAGAAATGGCTGCAGGGAAGCCAGAGAACAAGCACAAGCCCACTATGGAATCCAAGAAATCACAATCAGGCAAAGAAAAAAAAATCAAAACTATTTCCCGAGAAGGCTCCTTGACAACACAACATAAACTGCTGGATAAGGTGCTCCCCTCATTAATTCTGACCAAAGAAAACCTGCCCACTGGCTGAATGTGCACTGGGAGCTGAAAGCCCAACTCACTGTCTAAATGACGAGTCGTATAACTTTCTGAAAACAGCTAAACCATCATTCATAGATAACACGAAATTAAATTAGCACAGGATATTGTATGAATGCTGTCTGCACGCACTCCTTTTACAGCTGACCCAAGAAAGAAGGCCAATGAAGCAAGCTTAAAAAGCATTTGCACACCCATAACATTTGCATAAGACTTTTTGAGAAAGATTACAGATAAAAAGGGCTAAAAATCCATCATCAGTTCTTTCCCAAGCAAACAGGGGAAATCATAGATCAATTCCATAAGCCATGTCAACTCTCAAAACCATGCACCAACATAAAATTAACAATGAACAAACACACAACTTTGTGAGGACACGACGGATTAAAGGCAGAGGCAATATTGGTCCGCATCAAGGTAGGGAATATGCGAGAGATTCACTCATCTAGCTGTGATGCATCGGTGTTAACGAATTGCTGGCGACACCAACTATAATCAACACACGTATGCTCTATATGCCTCTGTGCAGCTGATACAGGCAGTAAGCTGAAAACGAAGCAAAAGGCGACAGGCAATGTATCCTCTTATTAGGAGCATTCGAAGAACGCAAAATGAACTTAAAACACCTGTCAGCTATCAGCCGCACGGGCATGTAAACTCTTCGGCAGTCTTTGCTGATATAAAGAGACTAAGAGGCAAAGGAAAACACTCCATTCAGTGATCATTCAATGCAGAACTTTTGACATTCCCGCGTGGAACAAGAAAGAGAAACTGTCGCCAAAGTTGCACAATCGCACGAACACAAAGCGAACACCCACTAAATTGAAGAACTCGTCGAGCTGCTAAAAAGCCAGCCAATGCCTGCCTCGACGCTCCCAAACCATTCATCAGCAATCACAACAAAACAGGAGCTAAAATAAACCGGAAGAAGCAGCAGAGACGCGGCCACCCACCGAGAGTTATCTTCGGGGTCGGCTCGTCGCCGGCGCAGAGAGCTCGCTCCTCGGCCTCCTGCAGGAGCTGCTGGACCTGTGCGAGCCGAGAGGGTGCCCTCTTCTCTCCGGCGCCCCCCGACGCGGCGCAGCGTATCCGGGTGAACCCGATCCCTCGCCGCGCGGCGCCGAGGCACGGCAACGGAGGGCGAATCCTTCCGACGGCCGGCGACGGGAAGAGGGGCCGAGCGAACATTTCCCGGAGGACCATGGCCGTCGTCGTCCTGATGGCCGCCATCTCCGGCTCCGGCGATGCCCCTGATCGGAGCGAGCAAGTGCAGGTGAGGTGGGTATGGGATTCGTGTTTTCGGTGATACCGGGCGTCGGGAGATGGAGGGAAGAGAAGCGTCGCTCGGCGGTGTGGCCGTGAGCGGCTCCGGTTCTTCGTTCTGTGGCCAGAAAAAATTTGAACTTTCAGAAGGATTCGAACCCAAGACTGCAAAGCTATAGCCCCGTCAAGTGATAAGGATGAGCAAGACGAATCGATCGAATCGGGAATCGGCTGGACCGGACCTAACTAGCCAATTCGGTCCGGTTCTCGAGAGTGCCGGTTCGGTTTCTAGTTCCAAAGGGAAACCGGACTGACTATATATATATGTTTAATTTTTTTTAATTTCTTCAAAAAATTAAGTAAGGTAAAGTGAAACCCTAAATGAATTCCGATTTTCCTTCCTCGAAACTTTCCAAAATTGCATCGTCTTCAGTTGTAACACAAATATATTTAACTCGTCTAGGAGCTATTCTCCACTAGAACAAATACTACAAATTACAAAATTTTCAAATTAATTTCAAAAGGGGAAAATGCAAATACCTAGCGAAGAAACTTTATGTGAACACAAATTGCAACGATTATTACAAGTTACGTATAATAAGTAACCAGTTCCATTAGACTTGACCGGATCGGTCCCAGGGTGGTCTGGTCCGATCCCTGGTTACTGGGTGGAAGTGGACCGAAAATCGATCACCCCTATCAAACGAGAACTTAGTGTTGTGCGAGTCGTGAACTTTTTGCAGTTGTCCGCTTCGGCCCGTCTCGTTATAAAAAACATGGTGACACCTTATAAGATTAGATTGAGCTCATTTATTTGGCCCGAAATCTACACTGGCAAGCCCGATCCGAGTCATAGGAGGTTATCTTGCGCTTTGGCCGACGAGATAATTAGCGGTGTTTATGTTGTTTGGGGCGTCTCGCTTGAGTCCAGCTTACTTATGTGCAACACTTATTCCGCTATTCACGTCCATGATTCGATTCATTTTCTCCGACAGATCTTTTATAGAGAGCAAAAAACGCACTCGAAGCCTCTGACCGCGAAGATAAAGCTGAGTAAGATGTGTCGGATCGGTTCACACGTCGTGCCCATGTACAATTAAGAGCTCCGCATGCACGCGATAAGGAGAAACGATTGGTCTGAGAAATCAAGAAGCTATTTGATGTAGTAACGTTTGATTGTAAAGAGATGGCGCTCGCAACAAATATGCTGAAACAGATTAATTCATCTCCAGCCGAACGAAGTTTATATCACACCCAAAATCATGTGTGACCATTTTTTCTTGACATCGTTCGGAAGCGCCATCTCTTCAGACAGAGGGAGAGATTCTCTACACAGCAAAACTGGGAGGAGCAGAAGAGAGATCATTCGGAAGCGCCATCTCTTCAGACAGAGAGAGAGAGAAAGCGCCATCTCTTCAGACACAGAGAGAGATTCTCTACACAGCAAAACTGGTAGGAGCAGAAACAGCTAATGCTATCCCTGGGCTCGCAAAGGAAAACTCATGCTTCTATTCCCCTTTCGGATATACAACTCCTCCCCTCTTGTCGCTCTGTCACAATCCGTGATTTATTGCTCCAATTCCAAACCCGCCAACAGTGACTAGGCTGATGAACTGCAGGCATACATTAAACCCAAAAGCCTCCATCAATAAGCACCCACACATTCAAATCGTGTATGCGGAACTCAAGATGCCTGGTCTACAAAACTCCCTGGTCCTGAGTCAGAGCCGGAGACAAGACCAAAAGCTATTCTTTATATTTAGGCCAACTGCTGACCAATTAATCCTAATCCAAGAAAGTCACCTGTCACTCACATCCTGCTTTTGCGGACAATCATCCAATCTTAATACAAAGGCAAACTGATTGATTTAACTCTTAACATCCAAAAAAAGAGCATTCACAACATTGGGGGCATTACAACCATGCCCATCAGATCATACATGCATTGCCATCAGGCATTATGAAATAAAGGTAAAGGTATCCCTGTATTATGCAAATTTCTATCCAGCTAGTCCAACATATGCAAATCTACGTGGCAAGGGAACAGGAGGGCCGCAACACGCAAGAACGATTCAATCTCCTTATCCTCTTGCTTTACCATGGGAGAGGCCGGCCTTATCGCTGGCATTTGCTTTCATTCTTCCGGCATTTTGCTTCTGAGAAGACTGTGCTCGTTCCCTCATATCAGATGTCACCCTCTGCACGGGCACTGATTGTTGAGTGGACGGAAGCGCCCATCCGCCATGACTTGAGTGTCCACTCTGACCAACTCCACCTAAAATACATTTGGTTTTACAGATATACAACTTAAAACCGTATTTGCAGGAAACACAAGGTCTGAATCAGGAGTCAAGACTTAAAAAGTCACAACGCATCATCAAGTGCCTAAGTATAATGAAAAACAACAGTAACACCTATGGCAATCAAAAGCAACTGCACCATCATGCACAGAAATGAACATCAGCGACTTGAATTTGCATTAAAACCTGCCACACAGTCAATTTCTGATGCTTGCAGAACAAAGAGAACATACAAAGAAGCTTCTTAAAAATGCTTATTGTCATATTCAGCTAGATGATTGATGCGCTTAGACAATGGGAACCTGTCTGATGCCCCATAAGCAAACTCACCAACCGAAAAGAAAATGACAATAGGTAAAAAGAATCATGTAACCTTAGTCCACCACATAAGTAGTAAGAATTGAAACATTAATTCTTTGCCTGTCATTAACACAAAAGATGCAGCCGAAAAAAAAAAAATCTCACAGCAATACTCACCCCGTCCACCATGGCCATCAAAATGCTCGCTCCAACCAGGCAAATGATTTCTAGCATTTCCCTTCCAGGCTTGTTCAAATTGAGGCAGCTCATCTAGATAGTCATGACGTTACATATATGAGCTATATGAATGAACCTTTTCTTAGGAATCCAGCATCCAACAAACAAGAAAATGTTTCAATACCTTCATTTAGGTTGTGCAGAGTCTGCATGGCATCCACCTTACCATCAGGGTTAAGCTTCCTAGTAACAGAATGGCCCTGCAGTAAAATCATAATATTAAGACAGTCGATTAAAATCATAATATGTGACATCTTAGCTTATGTCACACAAGGTAACGAGACCAACACTAAAGCATTCGGTGATACCTTATTATGAAGTCCCCTAGAAACTCTATGAGTGGCTTGCATAGTTGCACTATCAGCTTCTTTCCTATCCTCAAATGTTACCTGTTTTGTAACAAGGCAACCACTGAATCAGACCATTCCATAAGTTCAGTTTGTCACTATAACAGGCACTAGTACGTACCCCATCACCGCCCGTCCTCCTTGTCATGGATGATGTATAATATGCACCATTTGCACCACCACGAGTCACAGTAGAGCTCTGAAAGGTGAAACTGCGATTCTGTGGCTGGATCTGTCTCTCAGATGGCCTCTCTCTGGAGCCATTCCAATAATGTACCTGCTTGCTTCTCCTCTCTGCCATAACAAACAGGGCAATCAGTTAGAGCATATAACAATTTCAGACACGCGATTTAGAGATGGACATACCTTCGACTTCATCATTAGGACCCTCAACAAGAGGCATCTCACTTGACCTCCCATGCTTTCTTGGGTTGTCCTTCTTCTCGTTGTCCGCTTCTTCCTTCTCATCATCAGAGTTCACTTCTTCAATAATGGGTCCTCTCGAAATTCTCGGTTCTGGAGGATGATGCTCTATCATAGTAGATGGATGCATATTCATGAAAGGACTTGCAGTTGGACGAAAGACACTCGAGTCAAAGAGGCCCCCAAATGGTTGTGTAAAGAAAGGGTCATCAAATGGGTCTCTTCCTCCAAAGAAGCTAGAAACTAAATTTCTATGGCCACCAAAGCTTCCAAAACCAGCAAAAGGGTCACCAAATCCGAAAAAAGGATTTCTACCACCTCCGTTGCCCTGCATTTTGCTAGTGCTAGACCCCTGCAAGGAACAAGTAGAATCCAGAATTTGGCAAACGTTTCAAGCACAAAATCCTATAATGACGAAACATATACGCCACCTAACTTAAAGAGCTTTTGCAAAATAGAAAAAGGTAAAAGATAACCAAAGAAACAAAGAAAACAGAACCACTCATTAGTCAGGACACATTCCTGGAGTAAAGAATTTGATACTGCATTATTGAAGTGTTTATGATGAAGGAGAACAGCGAACAACTGATAAACTCTCTGCACATCTCAAAAAGGTGCAGTTGATCTTCCAAATACTACCCATGGGCACCAACAATCCCCAACAAGGTAAAAAGTATAACCACAAACACAGATCCCCAATAGGAACGAAGCCACGAGGGAAGAACAACTACTATATCATAGCTTGAACGCAGGTTACAGTGATGATACGAGCAAGGGTGGCTCTCGGGCATCTTGCCGAAACCTCACCGACTCGTCTGGGAACCACTAACTCAGCAAGGCAAGCGAGGTATGGTCAGCATCAGCGGCGCCTACGACCGCAACAGAAACTACAAACGTATTTTGAAATTGGACACGGCGCCGACATGTTCAACCGTCCCACTCGTCCGATACGAACAACGCATCCAGGCAGAACCAAAATGAACACCACGATCAACACAAAGAAAAAAGGAGCCGCGTAAAATCTCAACAACAACACGGTCTCACTATCAACAGCATCAGAACGATCTTCGGCACTTGAAAGCTACACATAACTAGCAGGACAACCAAAAACCTCTCTCTCTCTCTCTCTCTCTCCTACAAGCAAGGCACAAGGCACGGCTTGTAAATAACGCTAATCCAGAAGAACCGCCAAGAGCGCAGCCCCGCACTTCGCAAAAACACATCCAATCTCCAAAGCAGCACACACACGCAGAACGAAATCGTCCGCAAACAAAGGATCGACGACCGATGAGCGGCGCGTCATCGGCCGAGCGAATCGCGCGAAAGAGAGACCTAAGGAATTCACACAAAACCAACCGCTCGAGAGGAGGAGGAGGCGGCGGCGAGCGATCGTCGGTTGCCGAGACCTTCGCCTGGCGAATTCGAACCGGCGCGCAGAGAGAGAGAGAGATTCACCTGTGCAGCGGCAGTGGATTGGAAACCCCTATCGGAAGCCGCGGCGTGAATCGGAAGCTGCGGCGTGGAATTCCCCGACCCGGAAATTTTTCCGGCGAGAGAGGGAGGGGAGGGAGGGAGGGGAGGGAGAAGGTCGCCGTCGTGTTGAGAAAGATCGAGATGCACAAGCGAGGTACTCGTAGGACTCGTGGGAAAGCGAGGACACGTGTCGTGTCGTCACGGGGTTGGTGATTTTGCTTTCCTCTACCCTTTTTGGTGAAATGCAACTTTCGCACCCCCGTATTTTGGGAAAATTTCAATTTGGGCCCCTATTTGAGACTGATTGGGCACTTCATGCCCTTATTTGACACTTTGTCTACTTTGGACCCCTTTTTGAGAAAATGACTCCACTTTGGGTACCAAATTGAAATTTTTCCCCGTATTTTTGTGATTTTCTGGGTCGGCTCCGGGAAATCAATTTGTGAAGCTTTTGACCACCCTTTTTTGTCTAGATTGGGAAAATGGATTATTCAAACGTGTAATATGATCTTTTAATTTGTTCAATATGATCTCTGAATTTTAGTCTAATATGCAATGTGGTCCCTGAAATTTTAATTTGTTCAAGTGGCCATTGGACTATATGGAAATGTTCAATATAATCCATAAATTTGAATTAATGAAAGAGCTACATTGAACATTTCCATATAGTTCAGGAACTACATTGAACATATACCAAAAGTCCAAAGATCATATTGAACAAATTAAAAATTCAGGGACCACATTGAACACTAAGCTAAAGTTTAAGGACTACATTGCACATTAGGTCAAAGTTCAAGGACTATTTGTGTCATCATCTCAAACACATTTCATTTAGCATCTAATTCACAAACCCAGCAAGTGCATTTCCTGAATCTTCAGCATTTCACGAACACTTCCCGCATCTTATCAGACACTTTCCATCAAACGTGCTCGGTATCCTCTAATTCTCACCACGCATCAAGTTGCAAATACATCACGATCTTTTGTTCATTGTGAGAAAGTTTCTGCTCCCATTTATTACCAACAAAAGATACAACTTTACGATTATGAGCACGCTGGTCCTCTTCTCTTCATTTCGCAAGAATAATAAGCTATTGTTTGACAGTCATCAAATGCATTTTCAAAAGCTTGCAAGGTTCATAGCGTTTTGGGGAACAATCTCAGCAAGATGATTACAAGAATATCGATTGGGAATGGCCCCATCTAGCAACATTCATGCCGTGTGTCGACATAACGATGTATTATACTTCACTCGGCCACACTCGGAAGAGGAGATCAGACATCTTCGCACGATAGCCGCTCACCTGTTCTCGGTGAACAGGTACCGCTCGTATCTAACTCTATAGCTTTAAACCTGGGCCTAAACCCCGTAGCTCATCGGACAGCTGTTCCCTAGGAAGTCGGCGGCATACTGGATGCAGGTCGCGCATTCCGATGCCGTGATCCCCACCTAACACGTCGCGTGGCCGTAGCACACCTGATCGCCAGGGCTAGACAACCTCAACTGGGCGGAGCAGTCGTAAACGGAATCCGTCGTGGAATCGGCTAAAGCCTTTATGACAGTAGACACCGCATCTCCGTACGACGCTCCCGCACCATACATGTCACTACTACATTGATAGCTCAATGCAACGAGGCCGGTGTCGTCGGCTCCAACGGAAACAACAGCGACGAGAGACAGTACAATGAAAACCATAAGCTTATAAACAAGTGCTATCTTCAGATCTTTATAATCTTTTTGCACAAACTTTGGTGATATATGTATAACGGGGAAAGCTCTCTTATATAGGCTTATCAAGCCTAAGCTTTACTTGATTAATTGTGTAAAAAGGAGAAAAAAGTGTCAAAAAAGTCATAAACCTTTTGCATTAGTGCCAATATAATTCTAAACTTTTTTTGTGACAATTCAGTGCTAAACCTTTTGCATTGGTGCTAATTCAATCCTAAACCTTTTTTTAATGCCAATTCAATCCTAAACCTTTTGCATTGGTGCCAATTCAGTCCTAAACCTTTTTTTTCTTTGTGCCAATTCAGTCCTTCCGGTCAATTTTGGCCGGATTTTGCTAACATGGACGCCGGCGGGTCACCGGCACTGACGTTGACAACTTTTAATAATATTTTAATATTTTTTGAAATTTTATTTATTCTTTTCTTTTTCTTTTTTTTTCCTGCCTCTTTCCTCCAGCCGATCGCCGGACCGGCGACCGGCCAGAGGCCGGCGAGGTCCTCGCTGACCACTGGCACGACCTCGCCGGCCACTAACGAGGCTCGCCCTCGCCCTCGCTAGTGACGGCGAAGGCGAGCCTCGCCATGGCTGAGCGAGGCTGGACCTCGCCGACCCCTAGCCAGTGACGATGAAGGCGAGCCTACCATGGCTAGGCGAGGCTGGACCTCACCGAATCTAGCGAGGTCGTACCTCGCCCAGCGGCCGGTGAGGCTCGGGCCCTCGCCGGCCTCTGGCCGATCGCCGGTCCAGTGACCAGCTGGAGGAAGAGGGAGGGGAGGGAAAAATAAAAAAATCAAAATCAAAAATCAAAAAAATTTAATAAAATATTAAAATATTATTAAAAGTTGTTCACGTCAGCGCCGGTGATTGGCCGCCGGTGTCCACGTCAGCAAAATCCAGCCAAAATTGGCCAGAAGGATTGAATTGGCACAAAGACAAAAAGGTTTAGGACTGAATTGGCACCAATACAAAAGGCTTATGACTGAATTGACACCAAAAAAAGGTTTAGGATTAAATTAGCACCAATGCAAAAGGTTTAAGACTTTTTTGGCACTTTTCCCATAAAAAGGGTTTAGGCAATCTTGCCGGCACTAGATGTCCTTGTACATGTACATGTGTTTACATGTATATGTTTTAGATGCTGCCGCTAAATATGTATCGTTGTTGCAAGGAAAACCGATCGAAGTCCAGCCACAGGATTAGAAGCTGCGACATGAACGAGGTTTGATGGAGAAGAAGACGAGTACGATGAATGCGATGTTTCAATCGAGAATCATGTTTTGAGCTCACCGATTGACATAAATCGAATGCTCTTCATAGGCGATTTTGCTGCTTCATATGAATCGATAGTGATTAGTGACATACGTAGTTGACCGTCTGCTGGTTGTTTTCTACTAGTAGTAGATATCTCACCATTGACCATAATACGGGAAAGTCACCGAAAAAGTACTAATCATATTGTAATTATATCAATTTAGTTCTAAAAAAAAATTAATGCGTGGCATGGCTAGCGCTGACGTGGATAATTTTTTATTTAAAAAAATCGATGTTTTTATTTTATTTTATTTTTTTTTCTTCATTGAGCCGGCAGGCCAGCAACCTCTGTCAGCCTCTGGACAAGGGCCAATGACCCCCACCAGCCCCTGGGCTAGGGCCACGAAGCCCTCGCCGTTCAACTGTCTTTTTAGCTTTCGGGAGGCTGTTCTTGTTGATGAACGAGTATCGTGTCTGAGCTCTCTGTGCGAATTTCTCCACGTACTTGGTCACATAATCATATGTTCTTCACAGGCTTTCTCCTGCTTTATTGCAATCGACGGTGACATACCGTTTGTTAGCGCGGGGCATATACATATACGCTAGCTCCTGCACGCGAGCATAGCAGCTGCCTGATTCAAGATGGATTCGGATGATTTTCGCCACGAAACATAGATATGAACTTTAATGGTTAGGGTAATGGGCTCGTAAGGACAGGAGATTCGTAAGGTAACCCACCTGGAGATGTCGAATTAAGAAAGATTAAACGACTCTAATTCAACGTCAAAACCCAGCCCAGATGTTTCCACTTCATGCGATTTCCGGCAATTGGCTCGGGGACGAGCCGACGAACATATCAGCGTTCCAGGACTATGAAAAAGAAGGCGAGACGAAGAGCCACTCAAACAAGGAAGCTTCAAACTGT